TTTGGGTTTGGGGTTTAGGATTCAGGTACAAGGAGCGAATGGCGGAGCTGAACATGATTCAAGGGAGGATGCTCTCTGCAAGCATCTGACTCGAAGCCCTCAACTCTAAACCCCAAACCCTGAACCCTAAACACCAAACCCTCAGCCCTAAACCCTAAACCCTCACCCCTAAACCCTAAACCGAAACACCCCGAGGGCTGCGGCTTCGAGGCTCCCCTAAGGGTCCAAAGGACCTAATAATTCGGCACTTGGCTTACGAATAGTCGTTTTGTAAGTGAAACTCTAAACCCTAAACGCCGAATCCTAAACCCTAAAGCCCTGAATCCTAAACCCCTAAACCCTAAACCCCTAAACCCCCTAGACCCCTACTATTTGGGAGAACATAGTATGAGTATTAGGTACTCAGATCCTTTGCAGATTTAGGGTTTAGGGGTCTAGGGATCTCGGGGTTTGGGGTTTAGGGTTACGGCTCAGTGAGATCTCGTAAACTCCAGACTCAGACTCTGGAGTTCCCATGACCCATTTTTTGAGGGGGTTTAGGGTTTAGGGTTTCGGGTTTAGGGTTTAGGGTTTCGGGTTCAGGGCTTGGGGGTCTAGGGGTGAGGGTTCAGGGTTTAGGGTTTAGGGTTTCGGGTTTAGGGTTTAACCCATGTTATATCTAGACTCCCACAGAAGCTAACCCAATTTTAAGAGCGCTACGACTGGGACTCTAGAGACCTCCAGGTGTGAACCCGGAGCCCATGTATCTCTCTTGCCGCCTGGTCGTGCCACTCGAACATGGGCATGTGCATCAAAGACCTCGGTGCTGCCCAGACCTTCCAACATCCCTTGGTTAAGGAATATTAATATAAACTTATAGTAGGATCCCTAATATGATTCAAGGTTTCTATACCTTAATTTAAGGATTTTGGAAGGTCTGGGTGACCCGGCTCTTTTCAAGTGGCCCCTCAACTGCCCAGCTGCCAGTTACCTAGGATACAGTCGACCACTATGATACGGGTACTGGAGGTCCCTAAACCCTAAACCCTAAACCCTAAACCCTAAACCTCGGCTCCATGGGCAAGCTACAGCTGTAGCGAGCTGACCCCGGCTCTACGCTCTTGGATCTTGGAGTTCTAACTACCTTAAGAACCCAAAACCCACTTTTTTGTAGGGTCTTATTATAAACCCTAATATGGGATATATAGGGACCCTACAAAAAAGTGGGTTTTGGGTTCTTAAGGTATGTCGTCAAGGCATCTTATTTCAACTTGTCTGTGGTGACTTAGGCATGTAATCGGATCTTATAAGCTTGGGGTTGGCCCTGTTTAAATTATACACCTCAGCCCCAAACCCTAAACCCAAAGCCCCAAACCCTAAACCCAAAGCCCCAAACCCTAAACCCAAAGCCCCAAACGCTAAACCCAAAGCCCCAAACCCTAAACCCTCAGCCCCAAACCCTAAAGCATTGAGATTCTTGTCAGAAGTTGTCGGGATCGAGGGCTGCTGTGTATAAGAAATCTCTGCCCAAGCACCCATAGACGTAGTCGGAGCCCAAGTCGTCATAGGAGGAGAGACGACGCGGCTGTGCCGGCGGGCCCTGACACTTTTGGGGGTTTAAGGTTTAGGGTTTAGGAGTAATTTTGGGTTGACTCCAAGAAGAAACCGGGTGCGCAAGCCAGGAAGGCAAGACAAGGAACCAAACCTTGAACGCGAAGCCAACAAACAGCATAATCAGAACGTGACCTCTCTGAATTTTAGCGACGACGCAACCGAAAACTTTTCGAAACAGTCACACATATTCAGCTCATCGTCACAGCCTGCACTACAACGACAAGACAAGAGAATCAGCCAGAGCGGGAAATCCATAGGCACGCATCTTAATTGGCCCTATAGGGTCCAAGTGCGCAAAAAGCATATACTCGCCCAATATTAGTAGCCTACCTAAACCCTAAACCCTAAACCCTAAACCCTAAACCTAAATATCTCTACTCCGAGCCCATTGTACCTGAAAACCAAGTCCTTTGGACTCTGAGGGTTTATAATCTGCTTCATGCACGCCTCTTCCTGCGATGTCGTCGTCGTAGTCGGGGGCGTGGTAGTGGTGGTGCTTGTCGAAGAGGGATTCTGCGAGACGGGAACTCTAAAAATATTCCCTAAGGGTCCATGTACCCAAATAGTAATGTACTTGGGCCTGAAAGTAGTCCCTTTATTGGTACATTGGGGCCAAAGCATGTACTATTTGGGTACATGGACCCTTAGGGATTGGAGCCTTTATACTAACCCTCCCAGCATCCTCGAAGAAACCTGATTATGGTAGCCTCAACGAAACCTTATGGCAATGTCAAGGGAACCGAAAAAAGTGTCCCCAAAGAACCTACTTCATGGCTCAACATCGGGCTCCCAAAGAGAGGACGCTACGTCACTTCTGGGTTTAGGGTTTATAGGGTGTAAGGGTGTAGGGTCTAGAGCCAGCAATTACTACATTACTGAGGTTCAGGGTATGGGGGTTCTGAAAACTGACAAAAAAAGTCCTGACCCCTTAGAAGAGGGGGACGAACCCAGGCCTGAAATTATAAACGGAAAGCCCAAACCCTAGGGTTTAGGGTTTAGGGTTTAAGGTTTCGGGTTTAGGGCTTAAAGCCTCAAACCCCAGAAATCCCCAAAGCTCTAGACTCTAAACTCTAAGCCTCACACGCTAAACCCGCGACCCAAAGCTTTCAAACTGCAATTTGAATCTGAATTACTACACTAGAATTCCTTTGTAGGGTCTCATTATGGAAATCATATACCTACTTTACCCCAAACATCCTATTCGAGTTAGTAAGGCCGTGAGGCCCCTTAAAAGCCTTGCACAGCGCTTGTATGCCAACCCTTACTTTACCCCCACCACCCCGCACCCCAACACCCTATTCTATACTATAGAACCCTTGGAACCCTACTCCACCCATTAAGGCCCCTCTATTCGGCCCCTACACCTCCATTACTAAGGCTCCCCCCCCCCCCCATGTCAACTAGGTTCCTAGTAGTAGCCCCTTGATCTTCAGGGTACCCGTGTTCCTACTCTTTGGTTTTCGTAAAGGAACCCAAAACAGGAAAAAGGGCAAAAGAGTACTACACCCTAAACCCTAAACC